AAATTATTGGTTTTTCTTTTCCGGAACAATTGTTTTTTTTTATTTTATAACTAATGCTCAGGCAATTTTTTCATTAGAGACCAGTTCTAAAAAATACATCAATTTTGTTCTTGAAGGGAAATTAAGTGTTAAGAAAATTTGAAGAATAATGGTTGCTGATAACTTCTAAGGTGATTTTAGGGCCAGAGATTGTAGACGAATCTAGTCGGTATTCAACATGTAAAGAAACCACCCAAACAATTTACGATTTTCGTGTGCAGACTTTAAACAACGATTATGTGGATTTGAGTCGTTACAGAGGCAAACTGCTGCTAATTGTTAATGTCGCAACATTTTGTGGTACAATTTGTCGTTCCTTCACACCTCATTTTTCAACTTACTTTTTTTGCCAGCGGCTTCTCATTACTGTGTCAAACTGAGTGCTCTTTATACCAGAATTTGAATTAGCACAACTGATTTTAGCTTATACTCAACAGTACCTCGATTTCAACCCGATGTTAGAGCGTAATAACAAAAGCGATTTGTACATTGCTGCCTTCCCTTGTAATCAGTTCTATCTGCAAGAGCCAGCGTTGAATCATGAAATTATGAACGGAGTGATGTATGTTCGACCGGGTAACGGTTGGAGGCCGCATAAAAAACTTCATATTTATGGAAAAGTTGAAGTAAATGGCAACAAACAGCATCCACTTTTTGAATTTTTAAAAGTCAGCCAGTTTATGTACCTCATTTTGTTTTTAGAAAAGAAATTCTATAGTAGCAACTGGTTAAAGTGAATATTATAATTGTTTCTTTTTTCAGAATCAGTGTCCGCAAACGGTGGATACAATTGGTAAAAGGGACGAATTGATGTATGACGTAATTAGGCCAAACGACATAACATGGAATTTTGAAAAATTCCTTGTTGACCGAAATGGGGTTGTAAGGTATCGTTTCCATCCAACGGCCTGGGAGAAAGGTGAGACTGTGCAGAGACATGTCGATCACCTGGCTAGTAAATTGCCATAAAAAACTGGATAGTAATAAGTGTGAAGTTCATGTTGCTGAATTTATTCCGCTATGCAATATTTTTTAGTTTGCTATTTGGAGACGTATCTGAAATTGTTGTTAGTTGAACAGTACTATAGAGAAACCATATTTATAGCTTCACAATACGTGTGTATAGATAATGTTTTCATCTGGCTTTTTGACATTATCATATTGTACAGAGGATAAACATCAACGGTGTTCTGTTATTAAGTAGCATTCACAAAACTTGTCACTAGTTCACAGTTAAGTACACAAGAAATTTTTCTTTTTGCTTTTTCTTTCTAACACGATACTATTACAATTTTTTTAAAGATATCAAGTTTTTACAACTGTAACAAATTCAGCTATAAAATCATAACCGAGCACATACTACCGCAAAAAAATGCTGCTAATTCATTTAATAAACAAAGTAAAACTA